TGGAAGACGTGGGTGAATGTGGCTGAAGTATTTTAAGGAAGACAATTATTTTGCTCACACACTCAACTGCCAAATAAGAAGAAACAGTTATACTTCTTATAAATAAAATCACTAATTACAAAAAAGTAATATGTATGTATGTAACTACCCCTTATGATGATACAGGCTGGGTCTGGTGGGAACAAGTAGCAGATGTGGGACAAGGCCCGGACAATAAAATAAGGATCAGGTGCACCTGGGGCAGTATGAGATATTTCCTATCCTACCCTGGCTCTCAGAATCATGCCTATCTCCTCTGCTCAGAGCCTGCTAGACCCCACCTGGGTACTGCCTCCCTTTTGAGTCCCTGACATAGGGATGATATGGGTGGGAAATGATAGGAAGCCACAAGAGATGCACGAAAAGCTGTGGGACCAGGTCTGCTTCAGCTGGGGCGGAGGGATAGCTTCCATGGCTTCCATGTCAACTGGCCATGGGATGGGGGAGATGTAGCCAGGCTCCTCACAGTAGTGTGTGGTGGGAGGGAGGGTTAGAGGTAGCTGAGACATGCTGAAACAGGGGAAATTGAAACTGACTATAAGGAAGCAACATTTTTCCTGCCAGGACAGTGCAGTGCTCATGTTAGGGCCCAGACAAGCTGTTGCCATCACCAGTCTTGGAGGTTATCAACCCCCAGCTGGATAAGGCCCTGAGAAACCTGTTCTTAGCTCAGAGCTGGCTGTGCTTTGAGCAGGGTTGGACTGGAGGCCTCCTGTGGTCCCTTCCTGAGTTATCCTGTTATCCTTTATGTGACAGAAAAACGTGTGTATATGTGTGTGTGTAGTCTAGGTTCCATGTGGCACACAGCTTTGTTTTGAGACAGTAACTATAGTATACAGACGTATCAAGAGTGTGAGCATTTATTCAAGTTGGTGTTAAGTTGTGGAAATACGATACATAATGTTCTTATAAAAGAAACCCTTAAAGTAATATTTATAATAATAATAACAATTGTTTCTGTTCTGCCTGCATATACAAGAAATCAAACAATTACTCATCTTTGGACTTTGGTAAGAAATAGCAAACTAAATTGGAATCTGAATACTCACACTTTCACATTTTCTTACTGCATATCTTTTCCTGAGTAGAATTTGGCATGTGTGTGTTGAGTTTTTGCTCTGAGGTGATAGTCTGCTCTAAGATGGTGTTTTAAAGTAGTAGAGAAAAATTCTTAAACTTTCAACTTTATGTTGCTTAAGAAATATATGTATATATTAATTTTTTTCTTCTTTACAAGCAGGAAGGTAGTTTACCTTCCACAAAGAGTTAGGTGGAATAGTAATCAATCTCTGATTTCTCTATTGTGGACACAGATTCATCCATTCAAAACTAAGAGCGCTTACAGAGCACTTTCCAAAATATGTTTGATTACCAGAGCACAGCTGCTGTTCTGGGTAATTAATGTGAGGCTATAATGTCATTCAGATGGGTGCTCTGTCTGTATTTCCAAGGTTGGATAACCTCTCTTGCTTATATTCTCTTCTGTCTATAGCATTTTATGTAGATTATTGATTTTTTTGTTTGTTTGTTTGTTTGTTTGCAGGAAACAAAGAGCTTTTCTCATGTCTGGTGGGAAAAATCAGGCAGGCCTTGTATTTGTTTGAGGAAAGGGCTGCTAAGAATAAATAAAAAGTGGGGTTTAGTAGTCTTCCAGCTACCATGTATAAACAGAGGTTTAGTAAATTCTAACCCCCAGTCTTCATGGGTGTTCATTAATTCACTATCCTAAAGATGGATTGTTAAATAGTAAAATAAATGTTCTTGACTCAGAAACATACTTTTTTTGTTGAAGGTTACTGGGGCTGAGCTGACCTTAGGCCATTCTTTCAGATCAGATTTCTAAGTCAACTTACTTTGAAACAACTAAGAATGTTTTTTAGATTTTAAAATAAATAATAATTATTGTTTTCAAAATTAAAATCTTGAATTTAATTTATAGGAAGAAAGGCAAACAGAAGGGTGTTTTTCAGTAAAAAGTTTTAGTAAAGCTTAACATTTCCACATCATCCCTTCAAAACACACAGCCTTGAAAGTTTTGGTGTATCAGTAGTTGAAATCAAGCTGAGAGAATTCTTTAAATGAGAAAAAAATTGCACATGGAACTTTGGAAGCTATGACTTTATCAAAGGAAATTTTTTTTTTTTAGCCATATTTCGTATGGTTTGTAATCTCTCTAAGACATGTCAGTGATGCCATCTGTCCATAAAACTCATTATCTTGAAAGCATGTATTAAGACTTCTAAAACAGGATAACTTTTTTTCAGCAATTGTCAGTACTTTGTGATAAAAGTGATGACATTTGATACCTTATTTGGCTTGAGTAACCTTCATGTAGCCGATTTTTTTGCCTTCTTTTCTAAAAACTTAATTAAAGATAATCAGGACACGTGATAAAACTTAAGAAAGTTGATAATTATCCTGTGTTTATATGTAACTTGATTTGTTTTGACTAGCACTATCCTTGTTCTGGGAGTGACCAGTGACACTGGGTCACAAGTCAGGGGCCATTTGAATGCAGCAAATGTAGCTAGATTTTTTAATCAACCCTCTATTTTAGCCTAATTCTCTCTATGTGGAAAGAAGTGGAAATTTTATAATTTACTTCAATGAAACAAGGCCATATAAACAACCTTCCCAGCCTGACCATTCATGAGGCTCTGGCAGTCACACTCCCACCACCAGGGGCTGTCACAGCTAGGACCAAAGCCCCTTTTTGGTGGCCACTCCAGTGACCTGATGGGACCCCACCTGCTTCGTACACATTCTCACAGGGTCAGCCCAGGTTTCTTGGCCAGTTTGACCCCAGATTTCCCACAGCAGTGGCTTGGTTAAAGGCATAAAGGCTTTATTCACAGTGCCAAAACACAGAAACATCTCAAGGACTGAGCCTCCAAGGAGGGAGCCTGAACAAAGGAACCCCTGGGCTCTTGTCTCCTCATAGTCCAAGTGTGCCAAAGTCTCACTTCCCCTCCTGAGTATTTGGCTCCACCCAAGTCTCAGTATCCATCCTGTCCATCCCCCTGACCGGTGCCAGCATCTTTGGGTCCTGTGTTATGCAAAGACTTGTCACTTTCTGGCCTCTTGCCTGGGGCTCCTGCCACCCAGAGTTCAATCTGCAGCTCACACTGCGGGGTGCAAACCAAGGTACCTGCATCGAATGTGTTCCTCTGCTCATCCTCCTTGGGAATGACTTTTCAAAGAGCTCTTGCACCTTGGCATCCTCACCCTTCTTCTGGGCTAAAAGTAGAAAGCTGTCCAGTATGGTTGTTCTTGATTTCTTACCATATGCTTTGTGGGGGGAAGAGTGTTTAGTTCTGGTGCACACCAGTATATACACCTGTATTTTGCCCATTCTTTCCTAATGTCTTGGAAGTCTTAGCTGGAAAAGACTTTCTCTTGTCACTAAAACCTTACTAACACACCTTCATTAGCTGGAAAAGACAAACTGGATTTTTTCATAGTTGTTTTGAAAAGGGATTAGTTTGTGTACAACATCCTTATAGGTCCACCTAATGTGATTCATTAGCTATTACTTTACAACTGTATTTTTTTTTTTTTTAATAAGGACTCCTGTGTTTAAAGGGCTAAAACATTAGATGTAACAAAAAACAAGGTGTGTTCTCTGAGCTGGAAGCTGCACCGTCTGGATTGCTTGTGGAAGTATAGTGTGACTCACATCTTGGTTTGCCTGCCTGTCAACTTCTCTAATAGAGAGAAAGTGACATTGCTATTGCTTTCTCATCACAGGAGATTATTCCTACACAGAGCTCATTTCGTCAACAAATTGCCACCTGAGCCTCCCTGCCTCAGTTTATTAGATTTGATCCAAGTTCTATTTCATATTCACATTAATTTTTTTAGTTGGCAGTTGATGCATGCTTTTATAGATCCTTCAAGTTAGCAGTCTTGGTCCAATAAGTACCTTTCTTTTAGTACTTATCAGTAAGTCACAAGCTATAGTTGTGTTTTATTTATGGATATATGGCTTGATTTAGGTAGCTAAAAGGACGTTACATGTTGTCTTTATGATGCTGCATCTTAAACACATAGAACAAGGTTCCAAATAGCTGAAGCTGTTTTATAAAAATAAAACCTTGTGAGCTAGATAGGCCTGTTTCTGTTCCCTGCATATTTGTTGTTATTGGCAGACTTTTCTAGTAACCATATAACCTTTTGAGATTTTTTTTTACTCAGTTAGGGAGGCTGAGATGCCCCACTAGTGTCAAGGCAGTCATGGTTATAAGTATTAGAAATGTCTTCACCATGTTTTCGGAAAGAAGCCATCTTAACTGATTATAGGTAGTTCCAGAAAGATAACTGTGTTATATCTAGTTGTTGCGTGCTTCTCTAGGAAGAAGAAACAGGTGCTTCAGATGTACTGCGTCCTGAGAGTACAACTTTAATTTCTATTGATTTTTTAAAAGAGCATAGGGTGACTAGTTCACTTGAAGATGTCACACTGAAGAAGTATTGAAGGCATAGCTGTCATGTCTCGTGGTAACTGCAGACTCCTGTGAGAGGACTAAATCTGCTGTTTTACGTTACAGCATCCTTCCTTTGCTCCACATTAGTGATCTGTGGGGAAAGTGCTGGAGCAAAGGTGGAATATTCCTCTCATCTCTGTCATGGTTCAGCTCCTGGCAAAATTTGGCTTTTCTAATAGCCAGCATCATTGCAATGCCACTGCAGTGCATACAGGTTGTTTGGAAATGATACTTCTTTAAAGAATTTGTCCATGAAAGGGGGAAGTCCCAAAGAGTGTTGTTGCTGGTTGCTGCTGTTGGAAATCATTTGCATGGGATATCATACTGTTGTGCTGTCTATTACCTGACTTCAGAGCTGAGTTGAATGTTTGTCTGCTGGGAAGGAAGGGTGCATTTTGTTGCTTCTGTTTATTAACTCCACTTTTTTTATTGGGAGTAATGTCAGAGTTTGTTTTTTTATTTTTAATTTCTTTCCAGCTGTGATAGACAAAATGTCAGCAGAATAAGCGACCTACTCTCCAAAACTTGCCATGAACCATTTGGTTGGACCACCTGAGGGGGAGATCAGTGAAGAGCCAGCAAACAGAGCAGTGAGTGAGTCAGTGGAAGCTGACCTGGAGCACTCAGAGGTGGAAGAGGAACAGAGGTATGCAGTTCGCTACCCAAGGCACAACAACAGCAGCCACGTGGGCCTGTCTGGGCAGGAGGAGGAAGGCATGTTAGCTCGGTCAGCCAGCACTGAGAGTGGTTTCCACAGTCACACGGATACTGCAGAAGGGGATGTGATAGCCACAGTGGAGGACAGTTACAACATTGAGAGAGTGCAGGAAAATGAGGATGAGAGTGCATATGCAGTGCAGTACAGGCCTGAGTCCGAGGAGTACACGGAGAATGCAGAGGCTGAGCATGGCGAGGCCGTTCATAACCGAACATTGCCCAATCACTTACATTTCCATTCCATTGAGCACGAGGAAGCCATGAATGCAGCCTACTCGGGCTATGTCTACACACATCGCCTCTTCCACCGAGGAGAGGATGAACAGTATGCTGAGGCTTATGCTGACTATGGGCTGCAGGAGCATGTGTATGAGGAAATAGGAGACACACCAGATCTTGATGGTAGGGAGGGCATCCAGCAGTATGAACGGGAGAGAGAGGAAGCCGACAATTACCGCAAGGAGGCACTTGGTGCCCGCCTTCACCATTATGATGAACGGTCTGATGGAGAGTCTGACAGCCCTGAAAAGGAAGCAGAGTTTGCACCCTACCCAAGAATGGACAGTTACGAGCAAGAGGAGGACATTGATCAGATTGTAGCAGAGGTGAAGCAGAGCATGAGCTCCCAGAGCTTAGACAAGGCAGCTGAAGACATGCCAGAGTCAGAGCAGAGTTTGGAGCATGGCCAGGCTCTTGTCAGTGGTGGGCATGAAAGTAATGGCCAGCTAACATCTGGTTCTCGAGTTATGTCTGGCTCGGGCGAATCTGTACATAGGTACAGCAAGGAAAAAAGAGATGCAATTTCACTGGCCATCAAGGATATTAAAGAGGCTATTGAAGAAGTGAAGACGAGGACCATCCGTTCTCCTTATACCCCTGATGAACCTAAGGAGCCTATCTGGGTGATGCGGCAGGACATCAGTCCATCCAGGGATTCTGACGACCAGAGGCCACTAGATGGGGATGTGAGTACACAAAGTTTTCACCTCTCGGTTATATGTGTCTAATTCCTTTAACTGTGACATGCATGGTAGTAAGGGAAGGTGCATCATATTCTTGTTCTGTGTCTCATTCTTGAAAAAGTGCTTTGTTTAAATTTGTACTCTGGAGAGCATAAAAGAAGTAAACATGCATTTTCAAGTAGCCAGATTTTTTTTTTTAACAGTGCTGACCTTAGGTATGCTGTATAAGAATTTGTCACATGAAGCTCTTTATGTGTCTTTTCTGAAACAAATGCTGTTACATTATTTACTGCCATAATATATTTTAGAATAGCAACCAAACCAAACAACCAAACAAAACTGTCTATCTGTGTATGCTTTTGTTTACTCTTAAGTTTCTAGGTGTGGGATCTCTGCTTGTTTTTTCTACTTCTGTCAAGGTCGGGATTCAAGACACTTGAGATGGTGTTTCATGTTTGGACTCAGGTGTTTATTATTTCTTATCAGTGAAACAACTTCACAGCCATGAGTTTTGCAGTCTTTCATTAGCAAGGCACAAAATGGCTAGCTATCTCTTGTTACAAGATCTTATAAGAATAAATCATCCAATTAAGAAATGACACCTACACTGTTTTCCCTTTTAATCCAATAACTGATCCCCCAAAGCCCGCAATGCAGACTTTTCTGTCCAATTACAAAACATCACCCAAACCCATGAAGAAGAAGGAAAAACAAGGTAAAGAAGAACAACCCGTCTCCACCCTAAAACCTCCATCTTGCTTCATATTTATTTCTATATTCTAAAACCCCAAACTCTTAAGTTTTCAACCCTGTGATATTACACACTTCTAACCAACTACACACCCGTAATCCCAGTGCTCTTAATCAATTTTGGAAGTCTTCTCCACAGCCTCATGTCAAATGCAGTGCTCTCCTGCGAGTCTGAACCTTTCAGTGCAGAAAGTTTAAAATTCTCAGCAGCCAGGATTCCAGCACTAGGTTTCATATTCTGCCATGTAACAGTCCGAATAGTTCTGTCAGAAATCTAGTAATATTCTTTATGATGGTATCATAGTTCAGATTCATATTCTAGAAAAGTTGCATGTCAACTTGGAGTCTCTAGAACTCAGTGTATTATGAATCTCAGTGTATTATGTTATCACTGTAAAGTGGTATTTACAACAACTTGAGTATTGAAGGCAGTTGTTCAGATTTAAGCATTAGCATTTCTGAAATAGTGTACTTTTGGCATGAGGTTTAACTTGGATCAGGGTTGTCTTCGAGGTTGTGGTTCCAGCTGTCTTTAACTTAATATTTACTACAAGTTTTATGAGATTTTTTGCATTATTTTATAAAATAAACTCATAAACAACTGTTAAATGGGTTAAATTTATGTCTGAAAAGAGGTGGTATGCTTAATTTACTGACCAAAAATTATCTCTTAGATGTTCCTATGTTACTATTTCAATGGCAAGGACCTGCAAACATTGCTCTATTCCTCTTTATTGATGTAGAATGGGTTTTGTTACCTTTTGTTCGGTTTTTGGTGCTTTTTTCTAAGTTCCTTTCTTTTTTTTTTTTTTTGTTTTGTTTGGTTGTTTTTTTTTTTTTTTGGTTTTTTTTGGGTTGTTTTGTTTTTTTTTTTTGTTGGAAGAACAGCAGAAGTAGAACTTCTTCTGTCTTATTTTGGTATTTTAGACTGAATTATTGTAACATTCTAGGAATGTGTGTGAACTATTCAAGACATCTCAGTTACTGCAAAGGGAATTCAGATGGTGAAAAAAGATCACATGCCAGGTAGATCTATAACAGGCTTCTGATTTTTTTATCTGTCTTCAAAATGAGGAAGGCTACTGTTCTACAAATAGAAAGATTTTTGTAGCAGGGTGTTTGGGATGCTGTAAAACCATGCAAGCTGATTGAGACATAGCATCTAGATTTTATTTTTCATGCAAAACTGTTGGAAACACAGCTTTGCGAGTGTTGTGGGGCTTTTTTCTTGATTCTTAATATAAAACTTAATTGAACCTTTAAATAAGCCCAAACAAACAACTATATAGCAAAAGTTGCTTTTACAAATATTTTTAAAATTATGTCTTTTATAGAGTTGATTTGCAGTTATATGAGGGAAGAAATCTTTCTAGATTATTTTGTGTGGAATTATTTTTAGCTTAACTTTAAAAGGTTACAAAACTAAAATTATTTCTGTCCCCATTTTCAAATAGATCTTTTTCGGCACATTTTGTTTACCATATTGTCTGAAAATGCTGTTACTGCTTGGAAGATCAAGAAAGTTCCTGTTTCTTCCAGACTGATTGTAATGGAGTGCCGTGATGGTCTTGGTGACATTAGGTTGCGGATCCTGAGATCACCAAATTCTTCTGAAGGTGCTTCACCTGCTCTCCAAAATCCAGGAGAACTGAGCATCTTGCAGAATTGAATTTTTCTGAGATGTGCTGATATGACACAGCTGGTATGCTCATATAGTGAACATAACAGGTGTTTTTATTTTTGTCTTCATACATTAGATATTGAAGTACATAGAGGTTCCCATTTTGCACCAAAAATTTTCCTTCAATGTTTTTTGTACCATGTCAGATAGGAACCTGACTGAAATTTTCAAGGCTGGCTGAAATCAAAACAGTGGTTATAATGAGAGTTATTCCAGCTCAGCGAAGAGAGAAATGATGGTTGTAGATGTGCAAAGAGTGTGTGTTCTTGGAAGGAAGAAGTAAATTACATAAATAATTTAGAAGATCTGTAGCAGATTGAGAAGAAGACTTACTGTAGAAGGGGCTTGGGACTGAGTTGGAATTTTGTTTTTCTTTGAAGAAGAGATATTTGCTTTTTTGGATTCTTTAATTTAGATGGCAACTCAAAAACTGTCTGCTTTCTTTAATGCAGCGTTCCTAGAATTGCTTAGCTGTAAATTGGGCAAAAATTGCTTGTGTTGACTAAATAACCATAAGTGATCAGTGTAATAAAAACATAGTTGTACCCATTCACCTAATTGTAAATTGCTCTTCAGTCCCCCTCAAGAAAAAAGTAGGATCTCAGATGGGAGCTTTTCAGTGTAACCAGTATATGGCAGAGATGTTTTTCTGTCGGATTTATACTATTGACCTGGAAATGTGAGTGTTTTTACCTTCAGGCAGACGCCATTTTCTTGCCCCAGAAGTATCAAATTGCTGCAGATAAATAATGCAAATTGAGTACTTTTTTTGCCTTCAGTTATTTTGCAGGTCTACTTTGAAACTTAATCCTCAAGTTGTGTTAAACAATTTTCTTTCAGAGATAGAATTTACCTGAAAATATTTCTAATAATATTGCCTTCTTAATCATATGATATTGAAACTTGCAAGACTTGTTTAGGCACAAACAACAGTCACTTTTTATTTAGCTGCAAGCTGTCCACTGGGGACCAGTCAAGCAAGAAGAATGATTTGTGGTTGAGGCTATTTAAATACATCATCCTCCTTTGCCTTTTATCCCAAGAAAGTGACTATTACTCCCCAGTGCTGAGCTTTTGTGTAATACATTCACAGCAGAATGTTTGGTAGGATGCCATTTAGAAGTGTCCAGAGACTATTTTAAGAAGCTAACAATTCAGAGGTACTCAGCTAGCCTGTAGCTAGGTATAGTTTGGGACTGTTAGGAAAAATATGCAATGACTGTGACGGTAAGAAAGACACAGATCACTGTATCTGTGTGTATTTATGATGTCCTGATTCTAGTTTTATTCACAGGTTAATCTACCAGGATTGTCAGTCATTCCTGGGTATTTCTTCTCAGAATAAGTGTTTGGTAAGGTGTATGAGAAATGTAAATTGCTCACTGCCCATGGAGGATTCTGTTATAATAAACTCTGGTAGTCCTGTGGTGTAAGAGGCAGGTAGCAGCCTTCTGTGAATAAATAAATAGTGTAAAGAGGTACCTGTTTAATATTTAACAATGGAGAATATTAGCTGTCATGTGTTATGTGCACCCTGGTTTAATGATGCATGCTTTCACTTGAATGAGAGTGGTCTGGACAGGGAGTTTGTGGAGCAGGTGTACTTGTATATTTGATAAAAGCTGAAAAATCCTCAATATCTTTTGAATAAAGGCAGTAAGGGTATTTTTAAATATTTGCCACACAAATGAGATCTGTACAATTGGCATATATTATCAGAAACCTTTCAAACCAAAGCAGACCATCTTTTGGATATGTCCTCACGAAGATCTCTTTCTCAAATACAATAGCAGTTAGAGCTGCAAAGCTGCAGGAAGTGTGGCATCAGGAAACTGACCCTTGATGGAAAAATCTGTGGAACTGCATCAGAAGAAAACAGTGGTTTGGAGGTAGAAGTCATTCATTTGAGAACCAATTACCATGACTTTTTTTCTGAGGTCTGCTCAGTTATCCCTGGGGTTATAGATCTGAAAACCAAGTTTTGTTGATTTCCAGGACATGATTTGTTTCTGTGTGCCAAGACTTTGGTTTTGCAAAGCCCTGTCACTGGTGTTTGTAATATCTGTTCCTCTGCAGACATTTGAGATGGTGGGACATTAGAATAGACCCTAATACAAAGTAAAATCACGTATATGGGTGGTTTGGATTTGTGAAGTAGAAATTCAGAGCTGAAGACAAGTCTGCCAGGTGGAACAGAACTAAGCTGCATTGTTTTGCTTCTCCTTTGTTTTTGGTTATGTATATTTTATTTCAACCCTTGCATTCTCAGTTGCAAGATTTTTTCACTTTTGATACCTCAGTGTTTTCATGGAGATGAATTTGCTTCACTTCTTCCACAGCAGGAGTAATATGTTATTAAAAGGCAATGGAGAAGTCTTTTAAATAATTAAACAGGCTTCAGTAATAAATGAACTAAGGGGTAAAAAGAGAGAAAGGAAACAACAGAAATAAAAATGAGTTTTCATTGGCAGTATATTGTTTTTTTCTGAGTAGATCTTTTAAAACTGTTTGTTGAACACACAAACTATACGTCAACTTTCCATAATTTATGAGAGACCCAGACTCAAGTTTA